CTACTTCATTGGATATAAAATATATGATAATCTGAAACAATGATTACTGACGTTTGATAATTTTCAAACGTTTTGTAATAATTAAAATATCTTTTTTGAAGTTATAATTTTGGTTTTAATTGCAAGAAAATAACATAAAATTAATTGTTAAAAAAATCAAAATTTATGTATTTCAAACAGGACATTTAATATGAAAGTTAATCATTCAAAATTAACTTCGCTTGCATCATGATTGATGTCTGCTAACAGAAAAATATCCACAGAAATTACAAATCTTCTAAAAATATGTTAAGATAGACACTTAGGGTTAGACGAAAATTAATTAACTTAATGATTACTTAAGTGGATTTTGAAAAATATTACCTACTTTTTATCTACTTTTGATTGTAAACTCATTTTAAATGATCAAGAGCGTATTGAGTCAGCTTTCCTTATCCATACCTGATGAAATTTCGATTAAAATTACAAGCATCTGACGTAACCGTTGAAATATGGATGACCGAAAATAGAAAAAACCTGATATTACTCACAATGCCAAAATTATATTCCCCACATAAAAACGCTATCATTTAACTAGCAACAATTTTATATATATATATATATATATATATATATATATATATATATATCCCATGAAGAGTGAACGAACAGGTCCATCTACGAAAGTCAGGATGCTGAAGGTAACATCAATCAGTGACAAATTTTACATTAATCATATATATATATATATATATATTGGCCATGTGTCCAATGTAATCCGATATGTCTCTTCAGGGCAGGTCTACTCAGTCACCAGAAATCATACCAACACCAACACCAACAGTCTGGCACTATGGCATGCTTTGAATACCCGACCTGCACTAAAGTGTGCAAGTCCAGATCGGGCACATTGGAAGTGATAATGTTCAAAGTCAACTTCCACCACTCGGAGATGATTTGATATGCCACATACATAACAAGAAATGAAGATCAATGGCTTATATATATATATATATATAGCTTAGCTTCATACTAGGTATAGCTTCAATCTTCCAACCAAGTCTGGCTCTGAAATAGCCTCTGGACCTCTGACACCCGTGGGAAATGCGTAACTATCTCACCTGCAAGACAGGCACAAAATTCGTATCAAATTAATACAGCTCAAAAATCAAAGCGGGGTGGGGACAGAAATAAAAAGATTTGGGCTAAGCCAATTTGCTTTGAAAATTAGCATTCAGGCTTTACCTCAGTTTGAACCAGTTACAAAGTCGCAACTATCTCAGCTATGAAACTAATCCCAGATTATAAGTATTTCACGTTCTATAACGCGCACATTTTAATAAAATTTAGCACTCTTCAACAAAAAATGTCTGCACGAACAATTATTTTTAGGTAGTACACGAAACAGTCATGCGTCATTTTACAGTGGCAAGGCAACGGAACTACTGATTAGCGATATAGCACATCTACTTGGCATCCGTTCGTGTGTGTGTGTGTGTGTGTGTGTTCTTATAACAGTGGGTTGAGTCATCACGGAGTGCAGTCTTTCAAGAACTGTGGAGTAAGTAATGTTCTGGAGAATACTTAAGATGAACAGTTTTCGAATTCTCTGATAATGAAGATGGTTTATTTTTATTACTCCCAACGTAAAGCAAGGCGATAATGCCATTTAGACGCAAGGAGTTACTGAGAATGAAAACAGATGAGAAAACGTTAGTGAGGAAAATGGGCACTAAAAGAACAGAATTCAAAAGGACAGAAGATAGCGATTGATGTTGTATTGAAACTTTTGAAGGTGACAGGAAAGCAAGAAACCGGAAGAGAGTTCCACAAGCGAGAAAATAAACTATTAAAATAAAACTTCCGGTTATATTTAGCTATTTAAACAGTAAAACGATAAAACCTAGTTGTCAGCTTAGTAGTACGTCTAAATTAATGTAATCGAGGTACCAAACATAAAAGCTCATCAGAACAATTGGCATAGAAAAGACACAGGGAAGCCATCATCACAGAGACGGGATAGTGATTGAAGTCGAGATGCCAGGTCAATCGACAACATTACAAACGCTTCTTTTGGATTTTATCAAGAATCTCGAAATAGATAGCAGGAGCCTTAGATCCGATGAGCAGCAATATTTAACGCATGGACTAATGCTAGGTTTATAAATGTGCGAGATAGATCATGGTGAGAAAAGCACGGGACAGTCAGCGCCAGACCAAGAAGGCACAATGAGTTGCTCTCCTGATGGAAGGTGAAAATGGTTCTCTATGATGACTAAAAGATCACAGTTTCGTTCTAGAGGCGTTAAAGTTTATTTTAAGAATTCATTAATTTTCCTACCTACGTTACTTTTTTTTTTATTTGTGTTTATAATTAAAAAAAAAAAAAAATATCACGAGCATTTTATTTTTTTCATTTGTGCGTTCGTTAATTTTACCTTGAAAAAAAACGAGCAAAATACGATATACGCCTTTTTAGTTAAAGAAAAAAAGTAGACATTAGATATACAGGGAGATAACTTTTTTTGCTGTAATTTAATTTTTTTTTTTTTTTAAGGTAACATTAAATCATTGCACCGTTTACAAATGGTACTTTTTTTCCAGATCTGACCAACCACTGACATTTCATAAATTGCATACATAATTGACTGACTTCTTTACTTCATTTTAGGGACATTTTTTTTCTATTTTACTCTTTTATGCATAATTTCCACCATGAATTCTCCGTTCTTGAAAATAATACGCCATTTCCAAAGAGGGCTCCATCGTCGTGTGGGGCACGTACACAAAATGTCATATTGGCACAAAAGTAATTATTTATGTATTCCAAGACCCAGCCAAATGCAAATCAATGGTGAATAGAGTTTAGCACCGTCACTACTGATGACATTATCTGTTAATATGGAGTACTATGAAGTTTCTATGAAGTACTAAGTGAGGATCGAACTCATTGCCCTGTATTAATGAGCTACACGATTAGCTCATTAATTACTACAAATTATCGTTGCGCCAAAGTTCATTTAGTTCGGCTTACTCTATTGGAGTAGCTCTCTTGTGAGGATTGGACTCTCGTTTCTAACAAATTCGGAGCGCGTGACAAGCTTGCCAACCATCATGCACCCGATTGGTATGTATATTTTATGGTGTATTTGTATGCGATCTTAATAAATGTGAGTATATTTATAGCAGTTTATTTTACTACATGCAAGTATATAGTGAAATTAAATTAACTCCAAGGGTGTTTCTCAGTATTTAAAATATATTTACAAACGAAAGCTGTAGTTGGTTTTGTTAATATTTTGAAGAGGATGGTATGAATATAAATTCAAATATTAATAAAATAAACTGTCTCAACTTTGTCTATAGAATATTGATTGGCAACATACCTTTTGTTTTTCAGGATTAATCTAGTATCTCAAAGCGTCTGCCTTCATTCTTCATGACTTTATACTGTCTGTGGGACAGGGTTTTTTTTTCACCTCTTTCTCGTATATATGCCTGATTATGATTAAATAAATAGATAATTCCAAAAATATTAAGGTACGGAAAGTCTTCCTCAAATGATAGACTGAGGTTTTCTATCGTAAATTATCAATTCTTAAACGTGGTCCGCCATATTGAAATTGGGGATGCAAAAGAAGAATAATTGTGATTATTATTTACTAAGTGCGGCACCAGTAAAATGAAGGAAGCAAATGGAGAGGGTTTGCTGTGCTCAAAAATCAAAATTGAAATGATTCGTTTCTGCCGGGGTTCGACCACTAGAAGATAGATAACTATATCGCCCGCTAAGCAGACCGGAAAGTTATAGCAATATTTACAAAGCTTAGATTTGCGAAGCGCAGGAAAATGAATAAGGAAGGAAGACTGTATAGTACCACTCTTCCAAATATGAAGGCCCTGTGTAAAGCAGTATTCGAAATGCTAGATTTTGCTAAAGTCGATATACGGATAACAATAGAATTGGAAAACAAAGCAAAAAAAAAAAAAAACAAACAAAGGGTAATGCCATTCCGATGGGATCAATAATTCAGTAGAAGTTGGAAAGAGTAAAAATTGCTGAAAAAATACCTATTAAAAACGACTGTTAGCAGGCGCGTCTAGCGAGAGACTCTATTGTAGTAGCCTTTTGTCACACTAAGCTATCTTTCATGGCTAAAATTATTGCATATTTCTCATTTGTAGTTTATATTTGAGGTCAGATGAAGTTAGAATTTCGAATGCGGATTTTCAGGGCAAGATTTCTCTCCCCATTTAAAAGATTGGCATTAGCCCATTGTAATCATTTCCGCAAACTGATATATATATATATATATATATATATATATATATATATATATTTGCTTTATTAAACCAAGCTTCGTAAATTTACAGGATGCGAATGAGTTCGAGCCAATTGTTTTCTAAGAGCAATGGTCGTATTCCATATAAACTTGTTTTACGTATACCGTAAAAAATAACGAAATTATTGACAGGGTACTTGTGCCTAGGATCAGAGTACCTGTATGGTCTGTCTCTGATCAAAGTACAACTCCCCGGTCCTTCGGCTAGCATCAGTGTGCTTTATGAATATTATTACTCGGAATATACGACGCGGATAAATGGATACCAGTGCGTTTTAGGCGGATAATTCATGCTAACCTGTGCTGGTGGTTAAGATAATCACGTTACTCATCAGTTATAACAAATTTAGTATTAGAGATTAGGAAATGGAACGTAGAATAGGCTGCTGTAGGGATAGTTCCGCTCAACACCGAAAGTTGCTAGAAAATAAAAACATTATTAACCTAAAATTAGTCCTATTCTTAAACAGTCTCGTCTTATCGAAATTTTCATATGAATGTCGTGCATGGCGTCAAATTCGTTCAGAAATATTTAAATTGTCAGTTGTATACAAGCGCTTTCTTATATTGATTTTTTTTAAAGGTGGCTTCGTGCGAATGAAGCTTGTAAATCTTAACGAAGACATTCTTTCTTCGAACCTTGTGAACTGGTGATACAGAATTGTACCAAATACTGTTGACAAAACTGGTTCCCGTACGATCACCGAGGTTAAGCAAAGTCAAGTCTGGTAAGTACCTTGATGAGTGACCGCTTGGGAATACCAGTTGATGTAAGCTTGGACGTGCGGGTCGTGCAATGAATAATGTATCGGAATTGTTAATCGGAGAGCAGAGTTCCAATTCCCGTTGAGTTCGTTATAGTCACTTAAACGCAAAAAACTTTGGAAAAGTATGAATCCACCTCTTCTCCCCCCAGCTATGTGTTAATTAGTAAGATTTATATCACTAAACCATTATTATTACCCCCACCAAGAAAATTCTTACAATGTAAAATATTTTCTGGCTTTAAATAACTTGTGAAGGGTTGATAAGCCGTAGAACACGAATCAATCACATGTACCAGATAAAAGAAACCACATTATCTGCGGACTTGCAGCAACTAAAAAGGATAACACGTAGGTACCTCCACGAGATCGCTAAAAAAAAAGCATAGCTTGATGAAAAAGACGCCAAACTTGACGAAAACAAAATTTATCGTCTGTTTGTTATTATTAAGAGGAAAGATCAAAGTATTTTGGGGGTATTTTTTATTTTTTTTTATTTTTTATTTTTTTTTACATTTAATCGTTCCTAGCACGTCCAAAATTTTCGTTAAAAATCTTTTCTGATTTTTTTTTTTTTTTTTTTTTTTTGAGTGAGCAAAATTGAACATTTTTTTTTTTCCATTTTATAAAAAAACTGGAAATCTTTGAAATTCTTTTAAATATCAATTATCATTTTTTCAAAACTTATTTTAAGAAAATCAAAAATTATAATGTTTATTTAAAATATTTTGAACCAAGCTTAACTTAGCTTCTGCGCCGAAAAGATGTAATTTGAAAATAAAACAAAGCAGGTCATAAACTTTCGCCTCACTTGACAGGTGATAAATGACATATTGACGGATTCCGTGAGAATAATTTGTTCTACGGAAGGAGAAAAGTGAAATAATTTACATTTAAGTGAACAAATTATTTACCTCGTTATTTTTAAGGAACACTTTCAGCGCTTAATTTTTTTTGTTTTTTGTACGTACAAAAAAAATTAAGCGCTGAAAGTGTTCCTTAAAAATAACGAGGTAAATAATTTGTTTACGATGCTTTATGGAAAATATATTATAAAGAAATTAAAATAAGACTGTTAAGAGTGAGATTAAATTTCATATTTCATAAGATATCTAATTAATTTATATAGGTACCTCCACGAGATTGCTAAAAAAAGAACATAGCATGATGAAAAAGACGCCAAACTTGATGAAAACAAAATTTTATCGTCTAAATGTTTGTTATTATTAAGAGGAAAGATCAAAGTATTTTGGGGGTATTTTTTTACATTTTTTAAACGTTCCTAGCACGTCTGAAATTTTCGTTAAAAATCTTTTTTTTTTTTTTTAGTCAGCAAAATTGATCATTTTTTTTCCATTTTAAAAAAAAATGGAAATCTGACTTTGAAATCTTTTTAAATATCAATTATCATTTTTTCAAAACTTATTTTAAGAAAATCAGAAATTATAATGTTTATTTAAAATATTTTGAACCAAACTTAACTTAGCTTTTATTGCCAAAAGATGTAATTTGAAAATAAAACAAAGCAGGTCATAAACTTTCGCGTCTCTTGACATGTGATGAATGATATATTTACGAATTCCATGAGGCTAATTTGTTCTACGGAAGGAGAAAAGTCAAATAATTTACATTTACGTGAACAAATTATTTATCCCGTTATTTTTAACGAAAACTTTCAGCGGTCTATTTTTTTTTTTTTTTTTTTTTGTACTTAGCTTTCACCTTTACGTTTATGATGCTTTATGGAAATATATTCTAAAAGAAATTAAAATAAAACTGTTAAGAGTGACATTAAATTTCATATTTCTTAAGAAAGGTATCTAATTAATTTATAGGTACCTTTCTTATGAAATTTTATCAGAATTGTACATAAAATACTATAATTTTATGTACATTTATTACATTCTACTGTTATTTGTATTTGCATTCATTTTATTATTAATTTTGATATTTCATTTATGGAAAAATGTCGTAACTGAGATTAATATAAAAATAAGATCATATAAATTTCATAAGATGATACTGATACTTGTAGGTACCCTTCTCAATTGAAATTGAAAAATCAAATTAACTTCTCCACGCGTGTTTCGCAAAAGTAAAGGCCTTAACAGCGGAGAACAATGCTTAACTCAAATAACTCAACTTAATTATATTCTGGTTGGTCTTCCGTATTTTATAATTACAGCTCGATTATAAGCACAAAATTACATTTCTTAATTACTGGGGATCTTCTGATTAGTCAAAATGATACAATTTACAACGCGCTAAAAAAGATCTATCTCATAGGACACTTATGAAAGCCGATGCGGCTTTTTAACTAATTTTATAATATTTTAACAACTTAAATGTAAAATGTATTATAATTAATAATGAAATAACAAAAATAATTGTATTAAAAAATTCATTTTTCATCGAAAAAATTTTTTTTTGCTTTTAGAAAATATTGTCCATATTCATAAAAACAACTAAAAGCAAATAAAAGCATTTGAAATTAAATAATATCTTTGTTTTATTGAGTTTTGTATGTTACAATTCAGAGCTGATTTTCAGGTACTGCGTATCCAATTAAAAACAAAAAAAAACATGATTTGCATTCCTCAAAGCCCTGTGCTTTTAATTATTGTAATCACTAAAACCGATGCGATCGAATTTCTAGCGTTTTCATAAAATTAGTTATGTGGGGGTAATAAATATTTTTTAAAAATATTTCTACCATGACTTTCATAAAAAAACATATTCATAATAATTTCGATCATCTGTGAATAGTTCCTGAAAGTTTCATTAACATCCGATAATTATTTCTATTTTTGCACAATTTTTCAAATTAATGTGTCATACCAAAAAAACGTGCTAAAAATTGTCTATGTCATTTACTAGTTCCGCTGATACAAATAGAAAAAAGGTTTTTTAATCAAAATTTAGAATGTTCTAAAAAGAAGGAAAATTTTTAAAAATAATTAAAAAAAACTTTGGTCTTTCCTCTTTAATAACATAAGCATTTAGACAATAGAATTTTGTTTTCGGCAAGGTTGACGTCTTTTTTTCATCAAGCTATGCTCTTTTTTTTTAGCGATTTCGTGGAGGTACCTAATTTATAGGTACCTTTCTTATGAAATTTTATCAGAAGTGTACATAAAATTCTATAACTGTACATAAAATATTATAATTTTATGTACATTTATTACATTTTACTGTGTTATTTGTATTTCCGTTCATTTTATTATTAATTTTGATATTTCATTTATGGAAAAATGTCGTAACTGAGATTAATATAAAAATAAGATCATATGAATTTCATAAGATGATACTGATACTTGTAGGTACCCTTCTCAGTTGAAATTGAAAAATCAAATTAACTTCTCTACACGTGCTTCGCAAAAGTAAAGGCCTTAACAGCGGAGAACAATGCTTAACTCAAATAACACAGTTTAATTGTATTCTGGTTGGTCTTCCGTACGTTATAATTACAGCCTGATTATAAACACAAAATTACATTTCTTAATTACTGCGGATATTCTGATTAGTCAAAATGATACAATTTACAACGCGTTAAAAAAAAGATATATCTCATAAGGACACTTAGGAAACCTGATGCGGCTTTTAACTAATTTTATAATATTCTAAAAAATTAAATGTAAAAATTTATTATAATTAAGAAATAATAAATAATTGTATTAAAAATTCATTTTTCATCGAGAAAATTTTTGCTTTCAAAAAATATTGTCCATACTCAGAAAAATAACTAAAAGCAAATAAAAGCATTTGAAATTAAATAATAATGTCTTTGTTTTATTGAGTTTTGTATGTTATAATTCGGAGCTGATTTTCAGGTAGGGGTCCAATTAAAAACAAAAAATACATGATTTGCATTCCTCAAAGCCTTGTGCTTTTAACTATTGTAATCATTAAACTAGACTCGATCGAATTTCTAGTTATTGGGGAGGGGGGGTAATAAATATAAAATATTTCTGCCATGACTTTAATAAAAAAAAAAAAACATTTATAATAATTTCGATTATATGTGAATAGTTCATGAATGTTTCATTAACATCCGACAATTATTTATATTTTTGCAAGATTTTCCAAATTAATGTTTCATCCAAAAAAAAACGTGCTAAAAATTTTCTGTTATTTACTAGTTCTGCTGATACAAAGAGAAACAAGGTTTTTTGGGTTTTTTTTTTAATCAAAATTTAGAATGTTCTAAAAAGAAAAAAAAATTTTTTTTAAATAATTTTAAAAAACCCCAAAAACTTTGGTCTTTCCTCTTAATAATAACATAAGCATTTAGACGATAAAATTTTGTTTTCGGCAAGATTGGTGTCTTTTCCATCATTCTATGCTTTTTTTTTTTTTTTTTTTTTTTTTTTTTTAGCGATTTTGTGGAGGTAACTAAAACGCGTGTAACTCGAAGAGAAAATAATGATATAAACAAAATGTTGACGTTCCCCTCTACTTCAAACAAAAGGTTAGGAAGGAAACCACCATCGATATTGGAAAGAGCAATAACAGCTACTGGACTTGAAAAACCTATTTTCCTGAAAAATTAAGAGAAAGATCTTATAAATTTCAATCGACGATAGAACTTGCTGCTCGATCAATGAATGTCAAATGTCTTTAATGAAACGGTTAATATTATCATTACCATTAACTGTGCCAGAGGTCAGTATTCGGACCAGGTCTTTCTATCTGCATGAATATACGCTGCTTTTATCAAAACCTATTACCACATTGCATGTGCTTGGTAAACCATAATGAGAATAGGTGTCATGTTAAGTATATTGGACTATAGTTGTGCAGGTGTTGCAATGGATAGCGGCTCGGAATGAGAAATCGAAGAGCCGAGTTCGAATTCCAGTTGGATTCGTTGCATTTATTTATACCCTTGAATGAATTCATCTCCTTCCTCCAGTTACAGGTTTAAAATGTTGTATCTGGAAAAAAAAATCATTGTTATTCTCAAAAATATTGTTGATGTAATATTCACTTGCAAAAAAACAAAACAAAAAAA